AATACAAAAGATTATTTTTTTTCATTAGTCAACAAAAACAAGTAGCTTTCCGAAAAATGAAAAATAATTTTCTAAAGAAGATTTGTTTATTATTTTGAATTAAGTAGTGCAAGAGATAAAGTAGGAAAACCAAAAGAATGTGAATTAACAAAATACTCTGATATAGATTCTGTGAAGGTTATATTAGTTTACAATTACAGAGTCTTTTCACTACATCCACCATTTGATGATAAAGTTCATGATCGTTGGTTATTGTTGAGTATATGTGCAGAAGGTTTACGACCACCAATACTACCTGAAATGCCTGATTATTATGCACAAATGATAAAGAAATGTTGGGATGTGGATCCATCAAAAAGACCAACTAGTAGTGAGCTTTGGCAATTTGCATATAATAAATTTAAGAGTGTTAATATTGATGACAGTAGTAATAATAATAACAATAATAGTAATTCACAACAAATTCACAAACCACATCTATTAGCATATCATACAAGTAGAATATTATAATAAATTTAAGTAATGAAAGCTTATCAAATTAAGAAATATAATTTTAATGGGGCAAATTAATTAATTAATTAATAATGACAAGTAGTTAAAAGAGAGAAAAAGTTGAGAATTGCTGATTTATAATTTTATTTCCTTTTATTTCTAAATATAAAATAAACAATTATACAAAATAAATTCGTAGATGTGAAATTTATAATGTGTCAAAGTAATTTGGAAGTTAGCTATTTTCGTTGTATGTAATAAACCATTTTGCAGCTACCAAGAAGCGATTGCAGGACATAAAAACCATATCAATAGAAAGTCCTGACTCTATTTAACATGCCACCAAGCAATTCGAAAGTTATAAGAGAGGTATTTCAAGCATTTGTGAAAAAAACTAATGCTAGCATAAAGATAGTCGATGGCGAAATTGAAATCTATAAGATTAGTGTTTGGATACGAAATTCTGATTGGCTAATTTGAATTTCACGTATGTGAATTGCAAATTCATATAAATTTCATTTTCACGCACAACAGCGAACAAAATTTTAACGTTCAATCATTAGACAAAAAAGAAATGTTACTTATTCTGGATTAAATAACACATTGGGTAGTATAAATGTCAAGGTATGAAGTTCAATACAAGCTTTTCATTTAATGCACCTAATTTAAAATAAAAAAAAAGTCAACTGGAAATTTATCTGCGGTTTGTTGTGAGAGATCAGTCATTTTATTTTCGTTGAAGCCAATCTACGAGCTTTATGTCTCATATACAACATAATATTAACCCTACTTCGCTTCCACATTTTATTACTTTCTTTACATAAAATTGGGTTTTTAAAGAAAGATTTGTATTGTCTAATTCCTTGATGTGGTGAAGCATATTATTAATAAATGGTTGTTGGTTCTAATATTTCTTTATTCAATCTAATGTGCACCTTCAAGGCAAATAAATACTAAAAAAATAAAAAGTCTATCTTAAAATATAAATTAAGATACTTTTTGTATGTGAGCTGAATTCAGGGTTGGGTTCATTTGGTTGAGATTTCGGTTGAATCGAATTTTATCGAGAAAAAAATGATTTTGGATCTTAACGTGTGATGTGCTTTTACACGATTTACACACTCTAAACTTTAAAAAATAAAAATAAAGAATCGTTTTTAATAATTTGTCGTTCAGCATTTGCAAACTTCAATTGAAATAACAAAAAATAATAGCGACTTCGCGGGTTGTCCAAATTTAGAAATGATTTTCATATTATTTTCGTGGAGAGTATATACCTAATACCAATACTAATACTAATAGAATTACAACAAATATTTTTTTGAGAAATTCCCTCTTACACCAAAGCTAGTGACTTTCTATCAACCAACAAAGTTAAAGTCTTGTCATGTAGTACAAGCAGTTTAAAGGCCCAAATTGTTGGTATTTTTTCTTTTTGAAAATCGTTTTTTTTTAAAAAAATGATCACTGCAATCTTTTTGAAGAATAAAGCTAATTTTAGAGTTATAATAGACAGAACATCAATCACAATGCTTAAAGATGCTTTTAAAATTTTTCGGTAGAATTCCAATCTCTCCAATCCCTATTGAAATTTTTTCTTGAAAATCATATTACGTGTAACGTTCTGAAAGTATATAATAAATCTGTACTACAACAAATGTTGGCGCATGCATATGTTTATATTCTACATATATATAGTGGCTTGGTCAATTTCCACAAGCCACAAGAAATTTTCGTCTGATGTCCGATATGCTAGCATCACGTTCACTAGCTCGAGTAAATTCTAGTTTAGAATCAGTAATAATAAAAGTGTTGAAAAAAGAATAGAGGATGGAAATGACCTCAAAAAAAGGTAAGAGAATAATAATCAACAACAGACACAACAACAGCAGAGGATGAATATTTTTTGGATCACTTACTCTATCCAAAACAGGATTCTATCCCAATAGACTTTTATGTAAAGATTTAATGTAGCAGATTCACATTTAGATCATTAATAAAAAAAATTATTCAGTTTTCTTCGAATTGTAAATCTAGTCGCCTCATTTATACAGCCAAAATATATTAATATATACTCATCAGCATATACACTAAATCATTCGATAATACGGATTTAGGTTTTATATTTTGACAATATATTGATAATAATTAGATATTAATCATATAGTCAATTAATCACAATAGTGATTTGTTAGTAATAGATTTAGATACCATTTTTGTACATCAAGCATTTCCTTTGAATATTGTACTAGAGTGTTTTGTGTATCGGTACAAGTTAG